GTGAAATCAGGATGAAGAGGGTAGACAAGTACTTATTCATCTTTCTGGTTTAGAAATCACATCCTAAGGAGAGCCTGTGCAATGTCCCCGCGATGGGCTCACGTTCTCAGTGCTTATGGTCCTCAGGGGTCAGTGGGAGGTCTCATCAGACTCCATTCAGATTTCCTTTCTCTCTGTGTCAACCAACAGGGCTGATCTCCTTGAGAGCAGGGACCCTGGGTGTGGTCCCCAGTGAGCGCCCATTTGTCCTGAGTCAGTGTAGCTTGTGCCATGGCGGGGTGCTGTACAAGGCTGCTAGTCCATCCTCACCAGGGTGGTTCAGAGCACTGAGGAGGATTGATGGAAAAGGAGAAGCCAGGCTGTCTCCACAACCTTGTTCAGCCTTGGGGCGTGAGAAAGAATGGCTGCTGGGCTCTGGAGAGACAGAAGAGCCTCAGGAAAAAGCCCAGCTGAACCAGAGCCTAGGGTCTGAGGGCAGACAGAGGCTCTGACCCCAGAGGAAATTTCGAAGCGGTGCCTGTGGAGGAGATGAGTGGGGACCCCGGGCCCTGGGACATTCCCTGTCCCCTCTTCAGTGCTGTGGGCCGACAGAGGAGATGCTCAGAAAGCTGTTCAGTGCCCGTGGAGCAGGGTGGACTTTCTGTCCAGGTGCAGGTGGCAGTCAGGGTTCAGGAACTGCTCTCTGCTGGTTAAACCCTACAGCATTCTGCAACGTGGACGCCAGGGGGCGCTTAAGGCCAGGCTTTGTCCATGTGCTGGTGGGAGATGAAGTCAAACAAAATGTGGGTTTGCAGCCCTGACATCAAGGGTCCCTGCCCCAATGCTGGTGGGTCAATTTCCCCCAAAGTCCCATTGTCCTGGGCCTCAAGTACATCACATCCTTAGAGCAGATGGCTCCTGAGAGACTCATTCTTCCCAACCTATGACTCATAGTAACACGACGCAGGCCTAGAAGAAACAGACTTGCTCAAGGCTCTGAAGGATTGTAGAGTTAAATTTTATGGAATCTAAATTAAATTTATATTTGAGTACTTCATTACATTTTCTTTAATTAGACTGAATGTTACTGAATAGTATGAAAAAATACACAAAGTTATAAACATATATCTGATGAACACAAATGTTTTAAAACTTAATAAAAATGAGGGGAGGGAGCCCTCTCTGTTGTGGCAGCTGACACACGCTGTGGCCCAGGATCTAAGACCACAGGTTCCAAAGGAGCTGAGGTGCGTTGCTCACAAGCTGCAGGTGGGTCCACATCTGGAAGTTCAGTGACGGCTGTGCCTGGAGCCTGCTCTGGCTCTGGAGAGGGCACCAGAGTAGGCGTTGCCGCTTTAGGTGTTTCTTCATCTTGCTCTGGAGTTGCTTCTGTAGATCCAGGAAGAGAACATGTTACCACCATGACTGCCTTTTGTGTGCCTTACAAGAAAGAAACCTCCCATCTCCATCACTGAAGTCCCAGTTCAAGGCCCCACCCCAGGAAGCCCTCCAGACTGCAGGCCCTGGGCAATGACCTGAGTGGCTCTGTGCTCCTGCCTAAGCTCAGCCTCTCAGAGCTCTTTTCTGTGTGGGCCAGCCTGATCCCCACTCACCCACACCACCCAATCCACATGCACAGCTCTCTGACTCCCTCCCTTTTTTCTAGCAGAAGCCCTCAGACCTCTGCCCTCTGGCAGAAATCTCACAAGGCATGAGATCCAGGGTGTTGCCAGCTTCTCCAACTCACAGTCCCATACTCCCCTTAAGGCTCTGATCCAAAGCCCAGTCACTTTTTCTGCTGGTCTAGAGATCCACTTTCTGCTTCACAGTATGTGTAGATCAGCGATACTTTGAGGAAGAAGTCATATGGGGTGTACTGTGGATGCTACCTGCCTGTGCAGCCCAGTGTGACTGAAATCACTCCTGACTAGAAGGAAGCACTGGAGTGCAGTCCTGTGGTCAGGGCCTTTGCTGAATGAATGAGCCCAAACCACCCCCATCTCAGAAGGCTGGGTGAGCCTGGGGTCCCCCTGCTCAGCCCTGGGATTTCTGATCTGGCTTCACCCAGGACAGAGACCCCTAATGGAATCTCCAACGTCTTTATCAAAAGAGAAAATCGCTTAGCCTAAGTCCTGAGGAGAATCACAAATAAGGCACAAGTTTCTTTAAAAGAAGAGAAAATGGCCAATTGGAACAACCACAGCTCCTCCAGCACAGCTCCCCAGAGTCCAGGCTCCCAGCGAGCCTTTTCCTGGGAGGAACCCCCCTCCCGCCGCCCCAAGTCCCTACAATAACCCTATGAAGCTGGGCCTAGGCTCTCCCCATGTTCAGAGAAACAAACACTCAGGGACATGCAGGGATCTGGAGACTCACAGCAAGCAGGTGGCTGAGTGACCACTGTGCTGTGGAGGGGCAGGGCTCACCTGGTCCATGGCTGGTCCCACACACGTTGGTGAGTCCCAAAAGTTCTGTATTAACACAGAAGGGTGGGTGTGGACCAAGGTGGGGACCATGCCCAGGAAGCTGGGCACCAAGTATTTGACCAGTTTTTCCATTAAATGTTCCTGGGAGGTCTGCACCTTACATGTCCATTTTTATTTTTAATTATTATTATTTTTTTTTCCCCTGTGAAGGTCAAGCTTATTTGGAAGCCTGAGTGAGTGGTGTTGGGGACAACATGGAGGCCCAGGGGTGAGCTGACACGCCTCCATGTTGGGCTTAGGATGCCCCCAATGGGAGGTCAGCACTGTGTCTGGGCACAGGGTGGAGCCAGCTCCATGGGAAGCAGAGTCCTGGCTCCAGGAAGGGCAGGTAGAGAAGGTGAGGGCAGATCTCCCTGGGTGGGTCAGGGTCCAGAAAAACAGACTTGCTCAAAGCTTTGAGGGTTTTTAGGGTTAAATTTTATAGACTCTAAATTAAGTTTCTGTTTAGGAGTGTTTCATATATTTTCTCTACGGTACAATGTATGTTATTAAATATAAAAATATAATAAAATTATAAACATATGTAAGAAGAATATTAAACATTTAAAACTGTGTCTAAATGGGGTCAGGAGGGTGCCCTCTCTGCTATCACTGCTGACACACGCTCTGGCCCGGAATCTAGCACCACAGGTCGCACAGATGCTGGGGTGAGTTGCTCAAATGCTGCAGGTGGTTCTTCTGCCTCTTGAAGTTCAGTGAAAGCTGGGCCTGGATCTGGCTCTGGCTCTGGAGAGGCCACTAGGGTGGCGTTGCCCTTGAGGGTTTTCCTGATGTTCTTCTGGAGCTGGTTCTGTAGATGCAAGAAGAGGACATGTTACCACCCTCACTGCCTTTTGTGTGCCTTCCAAAGGCACACTCCCCGACACCACCCCCGGAGGCCTCCTCCTCCTCCTGTCTCGGCCTCAGTGGGCTCAGGTGCTCCCTCTGAGGCACTGGGCCTGGTTTGGCAGGTAGGAGACTGCAAGTTGAGCTCTATGGAAGCCAACAGCATCATCAGGCTGGGAAATTCTGAAGGTGCTGGTCCAGCCAGATGCTCAGGATGCAGGAGATGGCCCTGGGGAGAGAGAATAGGTGAGCAGCAGAATGTGAGGCCTGCCTTTCCCTTCCACACGGCCCTCCCACAGCACCACTCAGAGAGCCTGGGGTCCTGTGCCTGCTGCTCCTGCCCATCCAGAAGCCAGACCTACTCCTTGTCCACCTTCAGTCTGGCAGTCCTGGCAGAGATGGGCCTGGTCACCCAGGAATGGTTGGCATGAAGCCCTCCTACCTGACAGCTCTGGATCAATGAGGGAACCACCAGTCCCCTTCTTCAGGGGAACCTGACATGCTCTCCCAGTGTCCCTGTTCCCTCCCATTACGACTGAGAGGGCTGGTGTCCACCCAGTTCATGTCACTCATTGGCACTGAGCAGGTGCTTCAGGAAAACTGACCAGTGAGCAAACAAACAAACGCTAGGGCCTTCCTATCACCTCAAACTTTGGCTCCTGCACCTACATGCTGCCTCATTCACTAGCTGTCCTGTGTGGTTCTTTGCCTCCCACTGAAACTCAACTCCCACAGGGTGGGGTACCCCAAGCTGCCACTGCGGAGGTTCTACCAGATTAGGGAGCAAGGTCCCGGGATAGGGGTGCAGACTGGGCTAGAATTAGGAGTGGAAGGCTATGAATTGTCTGAGGGGCTGTCTGTCCACTGACCTTCCCACTCGCCCACACCACCCATATCCACTTGCACAGCTCTCTGACTCATGTCTTTTTTTCTAGGGAAGCCCTCCGACCTCTGCCTCTTGCAGAAATCCCACCATGAGTGGGATCCATGGTTTTGCCAACACCTTGAATTCACAGTCTCCATACTCCCCTCATGGATCTGAAGCAAAACTGACTCACGTTTTCTGCTGAACAGAGGTTTACCATCCTCTTCACAATACGCGAAGATGCAGCCATAGGGAGAGGAGGCCAGGAGGACGTCACATCAGGTGTTCTGTGGACACTATGAGCCTGTGCTGCCTAGTGGGACTGAATCGCTCCCTCCCAGAAGGAAGCTCTGGAGTGCAGGCTTGGGGTCTGCTCTGAGCACTGGGTTATGGTCAGTGCCTAGAAACATTTCTGTACCTGGCAGGGCTTCTAATATACTTGCTGATTAAATGAGCCCCAACCAGCCCCATCTCAGATTGCTGGGTGACCCTGGGCGCCACTGCTCACCCCTGGCATCTCTAATCTGGATTCACCTGGGACAGAGACCCCTAATAGTATCTCCAATCTCTTTGTAATATTAGAAAAGAGCTAAACCCAAGGCCCCAAAGAGAATCACAATTTGGCAGTGGCTTCTTCAACAGAAAGAGAAAATGACCAGTTGGTTCAATCACAGCCCCTCCAGCAGACCTCTCCACTGTCTAGGCTCCCAGAGAACACTTACCAGGGAGGAACCCAGCGAGTCCCTACAATAACCCTATGAGCCTGCTCCCTGCTTCTCCGAGGTTTCAGAGGAACAAACACTCAGAGAGTTGCAGTGACCTGAAGGCAAACAGCCAACAGGTGGCCTGGTGAGCATGTGCTCTGGAGGGGGAGGGGCTCACCTGGTAAATAATTGGTTCCACAGCTGCTGGGTGGTAACAAATGTTCTGTAGTAACAGGAACGAAGGTGGGTTCCCTCCTCAGGTAATCGACCACTTTGTCTAGCCAGTGTGCTAGGGCGATGTGCACCATACAGGTCTTTTTTCTTTCTGCCTGTGAGGCTGAAGTTCACTGGGAACCCTGAGTAGGTGGTGCTAGACCAGTTGGCTGTCCGGCAGCTGTTTCCCCAGGGCTGGGCTGACTGGACTCCAAGTTCTGCTCAGAATGCTGCCATCAGAGGCTAGCCCTTGACCTCTGGCTGCCAACCTCTGAGTCTGGGCACAGGTTGGAGCTGTCTCCCAGGGAAGCAGAGTCCTGGCTTCCTGGAAGGGCATGTCTTCAAGGCCAGAACCCTTCTCACTGAGAATGTTGGGCATCCTGAGGCCAAAACACATCTTCCATGACGCTGCAGCCCAACACTGCCCTCCTGAGTCCCACCCGCCATACCGTTCTGGTTACTGAACAGAGCATTGAGGAGCTCCCAGTGAGGGGCAACCCCCTTAGGTTCCAGGCTGTGAGCACATTCTCTTTGGGTTCCCAGGGTCTGTGTCTGTAGTAAACTGAACTGTTCACAGAAAAGCAGCTGGGTCCTTCTGGTCTTGGCCAAGGCAGAGTGAAGGGCAGGGGGAGGGGCAGGGCTAGAAGGTGGGATTATTGTGTCCGAAGATGCAGATGGGGAAGTGCTTGACGTGGGAGGACCACTGGGCTGACAACTGGAAAAACGCCACGTCCTTCCACTCCACGCCATCGATGACGACCGGCAGCATGCTCTGCTGGTGCTTGGCCCTGCAAACCAGGCGACCAATGCCCTGGATGCACTGGCTTTGGGACTCCACATCCTCGTCCGTGGTTTTCTTGGGCGCCTTCTTTTTTCTCTCCTTGGTGACCACAGTCATGGACATGGCAGGTGTTGCTGTGCCCTCACCACTGCGGGGCAGCCTGCTGACCTGGACAGACTGGAAGAAGCACTTGAGTGTGTTTTTGGTGGTAGGCAGCTGTTTCTTCTCTGCGACTCTCTTCGTATCTATTGGCTGGACTGCTGTCCAGTAATCCACCTGCAGCTCCATCATCTGTGCATGGACACTCTGGCTGGTGGAGGACAGGCCCCCACTCATTGATGGGGGGGAGAGTGTGTTGGGTGAGGCCTTCCCGGTAGGGGACAGAAGCTCACCGGAGCATGAGGTGACTACATCATCTGAGCCTCCTGACATGGCTGCAGATGGTTCCACTCTTCCAACCTTCACTGCCCCCACAAAGGGGATGAGCTGTGTGGACTTTTCATTGGGGCGCTGCTGCTTGGACATGAGAATGGCCTCAGCAATGGGCAGCAGGTAGACACAGTTGGCCCCCGCAACGTACTCAGAGATTCTCGACACAACGTCCTGTGTGTCCTGCAAGGTGTTCTCAGACTCCAGGTTGTTGAACATGTCCCGCCAGTACAGGTCCTGGAAGAAGTTCTTGTAGCGACAATCCATGGAACCCAGGTAGCTGGCCAAGGGGTGGGGACCCAGCGGGATGACCAGGAAGCGCATGTAGTCTAGCCATTGGGGTGGCTGCTGGGACAGCTGCCTCACGAAGACCCGCAGCACAGCGCTGAAGTAGGGCTGTGCCCCTGCCACCGCCATCTTCACAGGCGTCAGGGCCTGGGAATTGCAGTTGCAGTATCTCTGCATGTGTGAGACGATGATGCTGAAGGCCTCCTGGACGTCATCTGTGGAGCAAGTGCACACCACGGGCAGCGTGTGCCCCTGCAGGATGTCCGAAAGTAACTGGCCCTTCCAGTCGCAGGTGTTGACCAGGATGATGTTCTCGGGCATCTTGTCCGGGTAAATGAGGATGTTGTTGAGCTGGTCACGGACGGGCTTCCTGGGGATCTGCTGCTGGCTCTTTGGGTCTGGGCTCTCGTTGTCCAGTCTCTTGACCCACTCATTCTGGGCTGTGTCGCAGCCCCGGTGGCCAGCCTGCTTTCTCTTGGACCTGCTGGAGGGCAGGACCAGAGACTTGGTGAAGCGCACTATGGATGGCAGCTTCTTGGTGAACCAATGCTGGGCGGAGGACCCTGCCTCCCGGTTGTCCTCCAGCTGTGCCAGCTGCTTCCCAGGGGAGCGAATTCTGTGGGCCATTGAGTCAGAGCTACTATCACTTGACATGCTGTCAAAGTATCGCCTGAGTTTGGGCTTTGGGGTGCTGGGGACACTGATATCGTCCTCCGTGTCTAGGCTACTGTCACTAGAGCTCAGCACAATATCATACCGACGGTGCAGAGCCTTCTCCACTTTGGGGACATGCCTCACAAGGGCCTGTTCTGAGGATATGACCTTCTCCGACACTTGGGCCCTGAGCATAGATGCCACTGCTTCCTGGTGGTAATTGTGTTGCCTGTTCATGCACCTCCTTCTTACTATGAGATTCCCTTTGTCCAAGTTATTCTCCTGGGACTGCCTGTGGACGGCATTGTGGCTGGCCGCCTGCTCAAAGAAGCAGCTCTCAGATGTGCTGGCGAGGTCGTTATGTGAGGTTTGGGCCTTAGTGCTGTCCGGCATGGCAGTGGCCTCCTGATCGATATGCTGGCGGTACAGGGAGGCCATTCGAATCTTCGTGGTGGGTGTGCTGTAGGCCACAAGTTGGGAGTCACTGTGGCTTGGCTGCTTGCCTCCCGGGGCCCTCGCGTTCTCAGGCAGGTGGGCCAGACTCAGAGGCTCCTTTTGGATCCTGGTGCTGTGGAGGCCCCGCATCTCCATCGGCAAGCTGGAGTCTGACAGGCCTTCCATGTATGGCCTGAGCTTGGGACTGGGGCTGCTGAGGACACTGTGATTGTCCTTCATGTCTGGGCCACTAGACAGGCCTTCAAAGTATGGCCGAAGCTTAGGTATGGGGATGCTGAGGACGCTGCCATCGTCCTCAGTGTCTGTGCCACTGTCACTGGGGTTCGGCAGCATGTCATACAGGAGGTCCAGGTCCTCCTCCACCTCCGGGACATGCTCCCCATTGTCCTGCTCAGGGTCCAGGACCTCCTCCGAACCTTGGACTGTGCGCAGCCATAACAGGACTTTCTGGTGGTAGTTCTGTTGCGTGGTCAGGGTGCTCCTTGTGAATATGAGAGTCCCCTCATGACAGTCACCCTCCTCCTGGTCAGCGGTGTGGTAGCTGGCCTCCCGCTGCGAGAAGAAGCTCTCACACATGCACTCAGAGTAGTTGTCCGAGGACTCAGCCTCGGGACTGGCTTGCCTGGCGCTGTCCTCCTGGTCGATGGGCGGCATGGACAGGGAGGACATCTGGATGTTGTCCACCTTGCTGGTGGGTGTGCTGTGGGCCACAAATCCATTGTCCCTCTCACTTGGCTGCTTGCCTCCCAGGGCCCACGAATTCTCGGGCATGTGGGGCAGACTCAGAGGCTCTGTTTGGGTCCTGTCACTGTGGCTGCTCCACATCTCCGTCTGCAAACTGGAGTCTGACAGGCCATCCAAGTATGGCCTGAGTTTAGGCCTGGGGATGCTGAGGACGCTCTCATCATCCTCCAGGTATGGGTCACTTTTCCTGCGTTTCCCCATCATGTCAGACAGAAGGTCCCTCTCTGACACTTTGGACCTGTGAAACAGCGCCAGGACTTTCTGCTTCAGGTTTCCTCGTATTGATGGCCGCTGCTTCTTTGGCTCCCCCTTCTCCAAGGCATCCTTGTCCAGGTCCTGTCTGTGCTTTCCCCTGCCGCTGGCCTGCAGCTCATCCTGCCCCTCATAGTTACCTGCCGACTTGGCCTTAGGGCTGACCTGCATGGCACTGTCCTCGTGTTCCATGGGCTCACTGCACAGGGAGGAGATCCAGATCTCGGCCACCGTAGTGGAGGATTCCTTGATGCTGCGAGAGAGGCTCACCATCTGGCCACACCTGGGGTTTCGCTGCATGACGTCAGCCATGTGGATGGCGCCAGAGGCCAGTGTCTTGTAGCCCAGGACGTTTGTGTTCTTAGAGCATTTCCTCTGCTCCAGCATGATCAGGAGCTTGTTACCTTCTCCCTTGAGGAAGTGGCTGTACTGCAGGGAGAAGGTGAGCGCCAGGTTGGTCTGCACTGGTCTACTGCGGGGCAGCACAATCTCTTGGGACCTCAGGATGCCCTTGGAGTCCCGCATCCTCACGGAAATTACCACGGAGTTGAGGTCCTTGGCCAGCTTCTTGTAGATCACTAGCTTCGTTACAGTGAGACTACACCACCTGGGCACGCAGCTGGGGCTGGAGCAGTCCACCTCCCAGATGGCGAACAGGTTCTGGGGGACCAGTGTTTTGAGCACCGTGGACGTGCTGGCCAGGCCCACAGTTCGTGAGGAAGCTGCAGCTGCTGGCATCCTACCGGACCTTTTCCTACTCAGGGTTGGTGGTTTTTTCTCCTGTGGTGGGACAGAGGAGGGACATGATTGGTGGCAAGAAGTGGGGCATGAGTGATGGAAGGAGAGTGTGGCCACACAAAAAGTGGCCACTCGCTAATCTGTGATTAGGTCAGGGAAGGCCTGGGTGATGGTCTTTTAACCTCAGAGACCTAAAGTTATCACAAAGATGCTTTGAAATTAAAACGTTTTAACTAAAAGCTGTTTACGGTGGGTCGCTGGGTCCTAGGTTGGAATCTTCTGCAAAAAAGGTCATTATTTACCTTAACTGAGACTGTCTACTGTCTTTTGGAATCTACAAGAACATAGCTTTGGAACGTCAAAGGAATTTTCCTTTTTTTTGGATACTCTGTGCTCTGTGGAGACCACAAATCCCCTCATTGTTATTGAGTTCATTGTTGGCTGTTCTGTCCTATATCCCCCTATGGGAAAGAAGTATGTGTCTGTCATTTCACTTTTCATCCACTCTATCACCAATGGATTTCATGCAACTCACATACATCGCCACTTCTGACCGGAATATCTAAAATAAGGTGACAACTGCCATTCTCCAGAGCATTATTTCAATCCATTGAGGTTTTGATTCAAGGCAAATGACCATTTGGCTCAGATAAAATCTCAACAACTGTTCACAGTTTTGAATGCTTCTTACATGGACATTTACTTGGCACAATACAGCAGGATCCCAGAAAATCTCACCCAGCACCACCCTATACCTGGTGCTGGCATCCAGCAAAGGGTCCATTGACGCACCAGTTCCCTGCCTGCCGGTGAACTTGTGACACTTGTCTGTTGGATTCAGGACCTTCCCTTGCTTGTGTTGCTGACTTTATTGGAGCCATATTTTGTAATACTCTTGGTGGAACAAAGGTTAACAGTTGATAGATCCCAGGCTATGGAGAGACAGGAGGGAAAATGGGACTGGTTTTTCCCCCTGGCTTTTCTATAGGATTTGCCTTTTGAGAGTCTGGGCAAACACCTTAGCTGTTTAAGTGAGAGCTGATCTTGTTCAGCTCAGAAGATACAGGGGCACATCCTCCTTCCTGCATGAATCTCAGATGTTCTTAGACAACTGAGGATCTTTGCGGATGTGTCAGAGGTCATTCCTCATGACATGCAGGAGCCCCATAAGGAAATTCCCACACAACTGCAATTAAACTAACTGGCTCTTCAGGGGGAGCGCTAATGAGGTTTAGTCCACCTGTGCTGGTAGCCCTTCTGGTTGTTGTAGTCAGCAAGGAGAGAAACTGAGGCACATAAGAAGGTTGAATGAGACTCTAGGGGAGTGAGCAACTTACAGCTCAACCCATAAAGCAACAAACTTTAACCCACTACATAACACTCCTAGAAACTGTGCTAAGACTGCAGATACCAAACAATAAATCAACAGCAACAAGCACACCTATAATTAACATGGGAAGTTGTGCCTCCATGGCTGGGAACTCCCAGGCCCCAGCCCTCATTAATATTCCTGATAGGAAGCCTTGACTTGCAAGTGCTTTACAGAAGTGTAAATGTAGGAAGATTTAACTACAAAATATTAACTGAAAAATGGCCAATATACAGTTTTCTTTGGGTGCCTAAATTAATTTTTCACAGGCAAAATAAAACAAAAGAAACAAATAACTATAACAATGGCCGCCTGAAAATTGAACTGATTGAGTGTATAGGATGCATATCTTGATTTGGAAATTAGAAACTTCTAAGGAGAAGCACAGACAAATTCTCTTTAAAAAATAAATGAACAATAAATTTCAGAGATTATCTTCAAACTCTCCTGAAGCTAATACATGCTAACGCCCCATCCCCCCCCCCTTCTATAGCATGTCCCCTATATCTTTTGCTCTCTGAGCTTCCTTGTCCAGATGTGTTCCTTCCCTTCCCTTCTTTCTTCCCCTTTTGTCCCCTCCACTGCCCCTCCCTACTGACTTAAGGGAAAATGAGATTAGGAATTCTGCCAACTCCCTTTGGAGAAAAGCTGCTCTCAGCCAGAGAGGAATCAGCAATCATCCTCCATTTTCTCTATGGCCCTGATTGGTTCACAGAGAAATGTAACTGATGGAACATGTAATCCTGGCTATTTTAACCTATTGCAATTAATATACTCCTGGTTTCTGGGAGCAAAAGCAAGAGAATTCCTAAATAAGGTTTATAGAAAACTCCTATAGAGAAGCCTCCACACTTTAGGGATATAGGAAACTGAAACAGGATTTAGAAAAAGGATACAAACAGAAACATGCCTAGGGCTGCTCCAAGCTGGTTTTTCCTTCCCACTGATACTTTGGGGGGATTTTAAATGATCATTAAAAGGGAAGCCATTGCCCTAGCCAGTTTGGCTAAGGAGATAGAGTGTCGCCTGCAGACTGAAGGGTCCCAGGTTTGATTCTGGTCAAGAGCACATGCCCAGGTTGCAGGCTTGATCCCCATTAGGGGGCGTGCAGAGGGCACCAATTGGAGATTCTCTCTCATCATTGATGTTTCTATCTCTCTCTCCTTTTCCCTTCCTCTCTGAAATCAATAAAAAATCTATTTTAAAAAAGGGGGAGGGGGAGAAGCCACTAAGTACCCTGTATATATTGAGGCTATTTTATTTGTTTTTAACCACAACCAATTAATTGCTTTCACCATCGGAATAAAGCTTTCCTACAAATGTCTGTTTTTTAATCAAAACCTGTTTCCTTCCAACTAGGGAATGTTATGAGAATATATATGGTTTGCTTATCAAATCTTCCCCAATTCCCCTGCTTAGTAAGTGGGTTTTTTTTACTGTTTAATGAAATCAGTGATGCTGACATATGCTTTCTCCAGAATAGTAACATATATACTTAGAATAAATGAACCAGATACTGAACCAAAAGGGAAAGTAATGATTTTAAAGGAACCTTCCAGGAGGAAACTAAGCTTGAGACTGACCGAATGTTTGCTAATCATCTCTTCTTCAGTATTATCTTCCACAAGACGCTGAGAGATGGCTTAACAGGGTACCCACCCTACTCAGAATGGCCCCAAACAGCCCAGAGACATGCAGACATGCCTCTAACACTAGGCTTGCTCATATGTCTGCCTAAGATGGGGGACCAGCCCACAGTGAAGTGAGAATTCTTTTTTGGGGTACATATTCACCAAATGGGAGTAACTTGACCCTGAGTGCCTCAAACAAGAAGCCAATCTTCTTTTGTTACACCAATTACCTGGTTGCAATATAAAGTGGGTAATAGAGAGGCTTTGGCACCATTAACTTTAAGACTATCTTGTAGCTGGGACCTGTGTTGCCATTCCCAGGGGAGACAGACGGAGGTTTCATATACCTGAAAGTCTTTATACCTCTCAGAGTTGTGAGCTTTCTGGAAACTAGAAAAATATTCCCAAATAGAAAGAAACCATCCAAAAATGGGTGAATGAATTTGTCATTCCCTTGCTAACATTTGTGGGGGGGGCACCCAGTCCCTGAGGTATTGAAAATGACTATCCTTGTTTTACAAATGAAGTTTTCAAGGTGCCATAGGTTTTGCTCCAGAAACAATTCAAAGCCCACCAAGTCCTTTTACCTTCTCCAAACCTCCCCTATTCATTTTGGAGGCTTACAGGTAATTGGCTTCATGCAACCAAAGTCCCAGAACCTTTGAAGTGAAAATACCTGAGTTCACCAAGGCGTCTTGTCTAGGCCATTTTTAAAAATACAAATCTCTGGAAGATATGACTTATCCCAATAGAAAAAACAACACCTTACCCACCTACACAAATCTCTTTAGCTTTTTCAACTATATCTTTCTAACTTAGTAAGTTTTAATGAAAGTTATTAAATATCTACACATTTTGAAATAACGTGAATACTGACACATTGATTGCTAGACAAGTCTGAAGTCCACTGCTTTTGGGGGTTTTTTAATTGCAGAAGGTCTGTAAACTGGATTTGGAGCTGTTGATGTAATGTTTTGTGCTTTGCTGAAGGTGTGTTTTTTGAAAGTAAGAGTTTGATTAAAATATGTTCATCAACGTCAATCTAAGGAATGCTGGTTGTTCACTTGTGTGCTTATGATTGGAAATTAATGCTCCTAACAGTTAAAAGTTCCAGTTAAGTTGGAAGAAATTATACAGTTATGACAATAGAAGGCTTGAGGTATGGAGAGTCATATTTGAAGGAAAAGGGCAAATGTAAGTTTCTCTAAGGATAGTTATTTCTGAATGGGTAAGAAGGTTTGTAAAAGTTGAGGAAAGGTTTGTAAAAGGGGGTATAGGCTATACAATTTTGTGAAAGTTTTATATAAAAATATTCTTTTATTTCTCTACCAAAAAAATAATTCAAATTGTGTGTATAGTCTTTGTGTGATATGTGTTCATCTATGTGTTATGTGTGGTGAATTGTCAGCCTCCATATGACATTACTAGGATATAATCTTTTATTGGCCTACAAAGATTCAATGCTTATGTAAATTAAGGAGAATTCTGTAGTCTGGACAAAATACTTAATATTACAACTGTTTGCAAGTATGATTAATATCTTTTAGAGTTAGTTACCCTAAGTCTGTGTTTGCTTTACGTAGATGTACAAAAAGTCCATGGTATAATCTTTTGCACAAGTATATTTGCAACCTTTCCAAAGTTTCTATTGTAAGAGACTTTTAAAACAGGAGATGACTTTGAGTCAATTCCAATGGGCCGTGGAGTACCTCAAGGATTTATTCTCTCTCCTTATTAGAGAAACGTTTTTAACTAATTTAGGACTACTTAATATGCTTGAAATTATCTGAGAAGCTTTAAAAAATTAAAAAATATAAATAACTGTGCTATTTGTGTACCTATATTTTTATTAAAATGGATGTTCTAAAGATTTCAACCTGCTCTAGGAAGGAACGTACAAAGATTCAAGAAAATTTCAAATAGGAAACACTCTGGTGTAACAGTGGTCTTGGTGTCAGCGACACCAGGCCAGCCAAGAGGATGGTTCCCTGTGAGGGTGTCTGGCAGTTCGACTCCGGGTATTTGTGGCACAAA